GCCCGGCTGAACCTGCGCAGCCTCACACCGCACAGAAAGGTGAAGAGGTGTAGCTTATAGAGAGCAGCTCAGTGGGAAGAGATCTTAGGTGAGGATCAGGCATGGTGGTTCCAGACTTTAATTATCATCTGTCCCTGGCAACAGCAAAATTTTGATGGACAGCAGAATGAACAGAGCTACATTCAGTGTCTGCAAATTGCTGTTCTATGTTAAGTGAGATTACTGTACACCAATATGGACCTAAATCTGGCTGATACAGAGGGTTGATTAGCATAGCTCTACACTCCAAGTAATGGCATTGAAGATGTAGTGTGAATTTCAGGGCATTAATCATATTGATCACATTTTTTTGATGATGATGCATCAGGCATTTTTATAGCGGATCAAATTAACTGCTTTTACCATTCATTAAGACAACCCAGAATATTAACTATGCTTATGAAGAAATAGTTTTACCCCCTTCCTGAGACATTCTCTGGGCCCATATGCTGTTACTCTTCCTCCCCTATCCTCTCTGCAGCCGATAGGTGGAGGAGATATTGATGGTGTGATGCAGCTTCCCTCTAATAGAGCCAGAGCGCTTTTCCTTGAACTAGGCACAGAAGCCTGCATGCAACAGAAGAAATTAATGCCATGTGGCAAATTACAGCTGATTACAATAGGTGCATGTATAGGGAAACACAACGTAATATTGCCACGAAGACGTTATCTGGCAGCCAACTCTCCCTCTCCTTGCATGTTCCCTTTGAAAATAGGATACTTGTTTTTTTCAGCCCTCAGTGGGAATATATCTGCTCCTTCAGTATCGATTGTAGAACTCCTGGAAGATCAGCAAGGACTCCATGCTCTCTGTCCTACTATTACCAGTGAGATAGTGGCATGGTCTGGGCGCTCCTAGGCAGGATCTGAGCCCCACCTGCTTAGGGAATATACATGCATCAATGAATTAAAGGAAATTACGAATGGGAATTCCCTGCCCCAATAGCATATAACCCAAATTCTATGTAGGAAGGGAGAGCACACAAGCAGGGTAAGGGCAGCGCTGGCAGAAAAGCATGATGCAAATGTGAACAGTACTGAGCTACAAATGGTGGTGGGCCATAAGTCTCATTGGCTTGGAGATGAAGAAACACAGAAATAGGTAACAACTGGAGATGTCTCCTGTGTCTATCTTACCTGCTTTAAGGTTCCTGCTGCTGCAGTTCCTGAACTGCTCCATCATCCACCTCTCCCCTGCTTCTGCTTCTTCAGGAATGGTTCAAATGTCTCTAAAGTCAATTGCCTCTGCATTGACAATAGCTGGCAATTCTTTCAGCGCTTTTGAAGTGCCTTTCTGCCTACCGGGAAGGCTGACAGGATACTCTTCTAGTCCTTCAGTGGAATACAGCGTGGCACTGCTTTTAGCTGTGAAGAGACTTGTCCAAGGGCAGGCCACAAATGCAGGGGCTTGCCAGCCATATACCACCTTTCTTCACACTTATGCCAATCCAACCCGCTCAACTCTGCCCTTCCCCAGACAGCAAGTATCTTAGTTATTTTTAAAAGAACTTCATGTTTCTGGAAGTCTGCAAACTATGAAGTAAATATACATTTAAAAGGAAATGGTTAGGACTTTGACACTTCTTAAAATATACATTTTATTATTTTCTGGTGTTTGCTATGAAGGTTTCATTCAAATTGTGAAGGTACACAGCTTTTACAAACTTCTTGAGTTAAAGGTTTTTGTTTGGTGGTTTTATATTCTGTTTCTTTCATGGCAGAGGAAAACACATAGGCTATAAAATGTTGAAATTCATCAGATGCTTAGTATTACCTCTTCATATATGCAGTGGAATGCTTTGTAGAAATACTATATAAAATAAGGCAGACTTTGACAGGGAATTCAGTCATAAAATTTCACGGGAGAAAACAAAAAGTTCCAACATACTATTATTTTTGTAGCCAAGGGAAGATCAGGTGATCGTCACTGGTTTGTAGGAGAACTACTGCAGTTCTGGTGCTGAGACAGTATACATTTCTTGTTTATTCTACTATTCTCAAGTGAGACTTTTTCAATAAAACTTATTTTAATTAACATAAATCAGACAATATTTAAACATACACATCTATCCTTACAGTGCAATAAAAATGTATCATTGTATAGTATTTTGTATTTGCATTATGAAAATAAAAGGTCTGTACATCAATTAAATGTATATTAATGAGTATGAATCATGTAAATTTGTAATGCATCTAAAGTTGGCTTTGGCTTTTAAGTATTTATAAATTCATAGAAAATATTGAACATCTAACAAAATAAATAAAACATATCATTTTAATCATAGATGCTAACGATCAACCTCAAAAATTCTTGTGTTATTTTTTACATTTGCTACTAAATTTCTTAAAGAGAACTCACTTTCAGTAGTGCTCAGAAGTGAATGATTGCACCTTCTGTGATGTGAAAAAATAGAGTACATCTATTTTTCATAGATCAAAATTTCCTTCATGGAGAGTTGCATTTTAAATGTCTGATTGTTCTACGTAACTGTCTTAAGTGCTTATAAAAAGCATGTAGCTTTCTCATGGAAGCTGCGAGTCACTATTAATAGATATTTCTTTTTCACTTGCAGGATTGAGGATTAAGCAAAATCCTCTAGTGAATGTCCTTTTTATGAGGATTCTTCAAGGTCTTCCAGCTTCACATACTGGTATGAAGATACCGTAAAACTATGTTCACTAATAAACCCTCTTCAGTACAATTACTGCAGTGATCCAGTGTAATTCCTCTTGACGGACTCACTTCATTGGAGTCCACACACGGTAGTTTGTGGAAGTCAACTGCTGACCTCATGTTCTCTTGAATTTGAAAGTTCCCCAAGCGCATGGGCTAGCCTTACTGTAATACTGAAGAGACCAAAACAAATCTGAAATCACAGGAATAAAAGTGAGCTTGAATAAATATGCATCTGGTTAGTAAATTACACACCATGGTCTAATTGCTATTCTGGTGGTGGTCGAAGGCTCCGCAGCTTCCTTTCATCTAGTCCTTTCCAGTATTTAAAGTTATTATCCAGATGCTGCATCAAATTTGGCAGGTCTGCAAACGCTAGGGAAGAAAGGGCAGAGTGTATTTAGTTTGCAGAATTGAAACAGTCACATGATTCTGTCTGCTTAAATATCACTTGAATGTGTGGGCAACTGTGTTAAGTAGGAAGTCTTAAATCTGTCATACTGATACTTGAAATGGTTTTGGCTGTATAGCTCTCATCACTCATGTATCTTCCCAGGCCACTGAGAACAGTTCTGGAAGTCTACTTAATCCTGGTATTGCAAGTCCCAGCAAAGAGATCCAGTTTTCCAGGAGGGGCATAGCTAATTATGCTTGTAATTATTCTACTTCATCAAATCTCAGTCACATGTCAGGATCTGGCATTCAGGAGAATCACATTTCTGACCACTTTTACCATGGAGGCAGCACTTGGATGGAAATAGCTGCTCCCCAAGCAGTTTCCAGCCTGTAGACGTTTGTCTTGAAGAATAACTGATATTACCATGGACAAAATGACTGTGCCCAAAGTGCTATCAAGGAGAATATATTCTGTTCTCCATTGACAGAAAGCAAGTTTAAAACAAAGAAAGTTAAACATTGCCTGAATCTAATATATTAAAGAGAAGCCATGAGAATGGCTTGTAGCAGTATCAAAATACTCTAAGCAATAATGAAGTTATTAAGCTTACTTGAACTGCAGAAATCTTCCCTTTTCTCCCCCTTTCTTTAGGAGACATAAGAAAGCAATTTTTTTATCACAGCAGTTTTAAATGTTCACGGAACAGTTATCATCAGGAAATACAGCAGAGTTTTGCTTACCATCCCAGGCATCAAACATATCAGTAATGAAGTAATCAATGAATGATATTTGGGATTTGGGGATGCTGCAAGTATTTCTGTCAAAAACTGGCATCACAACAGGTAAACCTTGCCTCTTTTCTTCATCAGTCTGCAAAAAACATTCTTGTGATTATTCATTTAAGACACATTCTGTTAATAGGCTTCTTTTAGCAGCAAGTTGCTTGGCACTGACTGGAGCATGCAATTGCTAAACAAACAGAGGAACCTGAGTAAATCTGAAGCAGCAGTGATTTAATCTTAAGCAGCTAATCATCTAGGTTTCAGTGAAACAGCAGACAAATAGTGCCTTCCAGTGTTTCCCACAAAGTGATACATTTACCTTCTGCACCTACACACAAAGCTGACCCTAAGTAACTAAACATGTTACTAATTAAGTTGACTGCTTTGGAGCTAAAAGTTGCTGAACCACTCTCAATCTCTGATGGAAGTGACATTCTGTACAACTCAAAGATGGCAAAATGTCTTTTTTATCCTCTTTTTCCTTCCTTGAGGCACCAAGTCCCAATTGCAGTATTTGGTTTATCATCTGTAATGACTCTTCCCTCTTCTTTTCCCCATCTTCCTAAAACTTTTCTGCAGCACAGTGTGCTAAGGTCTTACAGCATTTCTTGGAGTGAGTGCTGTTCCCATGCTAACACTAGGACCTGATGATCCTATTCTTGAGGCACAGCCAGTACACAGAAGGCACCCTTCCTCTGCCTCTTGTGATGTGAATGCATTTGCAGACAAAACTCAAAAAGCCCAGCTCCAAACTGAACAACCTGAAAGCTTAAATTTTTCAAAAACTGCATTGTAGAAGTTGTCAACTTTCATCTGTCTGAAGGCACCTAGTCTTGTATCGGCGTAAGTAATATCCCATCATTTAAAATAAAAAAGCCTTGGATGTTCGGGGACACTGGCAGTATATGCACCCTTCTCTTCCCTTTAGAGATGCTCACCTGGAATTTCAGCAGCCCATTTAGCTGCCTTACCTGTGCAAAGTACTCCTCAGAGATGCGTCCGGCCCACTCTATACACTGCTCTATGGGTCTGCATGGGTTGGAAATGTCAGCACACTTTATCAACATGCGCTTGATAAGGATACGGTTTTCAGGAGACGTGAGAACAGTTTTGATTGACTCTCCATCACCATTATTCTGTAACATTTGAGAATTAAAAACAATCCATTAGCAAGGTCTCTGTGCACTTACTCAAAAGCTTTGTGCCTTGGGAATGCTTTCAGCAGATCCTACAGGGATCAGTCCTCTTACTGGCTACCATATTTGATGTCCAACCAAATTTACAGGGGGATTATGAATGTTAGCCACAGCTCTGAACTAGCACTGAACTCCAGTTTCTGGATTCAGTCACTGTCTCTGTGACAGATCTCTCGGGCATCTTTGGGCAAGTCATCTAATCCCTCTATGCCTTATCTGCCTCCTTAAAAGTGTGGGAAGGATCCATTCATCACTACACATATAGTAATGAGCACTGTGTAGGCAGAAAAATGTAATTCTCTGCTGAAATCTAAGGATTAATGGACTTGCACATTAAGAGTGGAATAGCTGGTTTTAAAAAAAAAGACTGACCCGAGATGCACGGTCATCCTCTGCACGCAAACATCATCAGTGTGAGCATCAATCATTCTGACAGCACTGCTGCTATTAGGAGAGTCAGATCCCATATTGCCTCCCAGGCATGCTCCTCATTCTCTTCCACTAGGAGCTGTGTTAGCCCATCAGTCTCTGACCTGACCAAGAGTTTTGCTTTCTGACAGTTTATCAGTATTAAAGTGATACATTAGAAACATGCTTTTGAACAGCCTCGTCTTTCGTCTGCAAGTCTAGGAAAGTGTTCAGCCCACACACGGCTTATATTTGGTTCCCAGGCTGCACAAATAAGCGTGTCAACAGTACTCTATATTTGGAGCCAGTATACAGCTAATATGAGTAAAGGCTCTGATGATCCAGATTAAAAGCTATTTTCTGTGGAGCTCTGATGAAGTAAGTTTCCAAAGGACAGAGATTCAGGATTAAAATATCTTTAAAAATTACCTATAAGTACAACATTATTACTTGACTCTTTAGGGTTGGGTAGGTACAGAAATTTACAACACCATCTACTCAGAATAGAAACTCTTTGAAGCAAGGAATATACTAGACTTCTCTGGCACCTAACAAGGTCTTGGTCTATAGTCAGGGCAGTGAAGAAGTAACAGTAATAATAATGATAACAGTAGTAATAATAATGATAACAGTAGTAATAATAATGTGCCACCAGTTCCTACAGTACTTTTTGTGAAGCAGCAGAAACATTCTGACATTTTAATTAGGCCATATTTTTCCGAAGAAAGTTCTTGTGAGGAAGAAAGTTCTTTCTGAAGGAAGAAACTGACAATAATAATAAAAAAAATAAATTATTTGGTAGTATACTGGTTCAGAAACACCAGCTCCACAGTTCCCACCAAAATGAGACTCCCCAGCCAATTCTTCTCCCTTATTTTTAGGTAAGTGGAAGGGAAACTACAGAGGAAACAAAGTGAGGTGCATACACCTCCAAATGCATGAAAAAATTGTGTAAGAGAAAGCCAAAATAAAGTGATGGAAGCTCCAGAAAAATAAGCATAGAAATTAAGCACGGAGAATTATTAGAGATCATCCAGTTAAGGATAACAGAGAATATGCTAATAGGTAAACCACCAGAAATCAAGAAAGGATGTTGGCTTCTGTGATCTGTTCAAACCCAGGGCACAGTTCTACTTGCTGGATGTGGACGTCTTGGGAATAGTATGTGCTAACTCTGCTTAGTCCCAGCATCCTGCTCAGAGTGCAGAGGTGTCCCTGCATGTCAGATGTTGGCTTCCTGTCATAGGCTTAGGTGACATCATGAAGGGAAATGGGAGGATAAAGGATGCTGGAGCTGGAAAGGATTTTTTTCAGTTTATGAAACAAAAGAAGAAAGGAAACAAACAGAGCAGCTTCTCAGCATGGCTCTTTGAACAAATATGTATAAAAATAATAAATAAAAAAAATAAGTGGAACTGTCCCGTTTGGAACACATGGTTGGCAGCTCAGCCTGCAAACACTACACTGAGTCACCACCATGACTGGAAACCAGGCCAGGAAACACACGCTGCTGCTGCAACCAGATATACAACCAGACTTGAAAGAGGATCTGCCAGTGTTTCTGCTAGTAACAAGGACAGCACATGATTGGGTTTACCCACTCACACA